TGGGGCAGGGAGGTCATAAAGATGTCAAAATTATCTGTGTTGGGTGACCTCTAACATTTCTAAGGAGGAAACCTTGCTGAGAGGATGAAGAGGTGGGGACTTAAAGGCTAAAGATTTAAGTAGCTGCTGTGGAGGATGTGAGGAGCTGATTGAACCAAGGGAGGCAAGGCCATGGGACTAGGTAAGAGCACCAGTCTGTATAAATTGGCACTTTCCCATAGACAACATGAGAAAGAAACAGTGGGAGGCATGCATTTTATCTGCAGTATTTTCTAAACTTCATTTTTTGCTCCATGTATCCTTTGTTGTCAGTTATAATTTTAAAGCAAAAAAAGTATCAACATAAAATATATATTTACCAAAATGTAAAGCTTGTCATAAGTTTGGAAACATTAAATTAAAAACTGAAATAAACTTTGGGAGGAAAGAAAAAACAATCTATTCTAATAGTAGTGTCTTCCCTTCCTTGTATGTAACACTTAAATTACACATGAATGGCCAGCAGAGGGAGCCAGAGCCATGCATGGACATTTTCTCTTTTCTACATAGCTTTTAGGAAAATGGATTAAAAACTACAAAATGCAAATAAACCTCGTCTTTTAAAAATATATGCAAAAATAATTAAAATATATAACAATGCTACTCTGCCACCAAATACTGCATAGAAAAGTTCAAAGCTAGAATGAGATTCTGAATTTCAAATAGTTCAAAGAAGCAACATTCCTCCCTCATTTCCTTCCTCTCTCATTCTCTCCTCTCTCTGTCTGGTACATGTTTGGAGTCACTCCTCCAAAGCTAGGTAATTTGTATTCTGTTTCTGCGGAAACATTCTGTGTTGTGTCAACACTTTTCCACTTTTCATTTCTGGGAGCATATTGGTTCATTCTAGTTCCAGTTGTAAGGTTGAGTAAAACCAGAATACAACATTTTATGGCAGGGCTAGGCCCCGAGGTAGGTTTTGTTTCTCAGGAACAGACCAGCCTGTCCGCGGCAGAATGACCTACGGGAACAGTCCAGCCTGACCGCTATGGAATGCACCTGCGGGAACCAACCACCCAGAGATGCCGCAATGGCAAAAGACCACTGACGCAAGGGCGGAATAGTCAGAGAGGAAGGAGTGGTTGAGACAGTTTCAAGTATAGCTAAAAAGGTTTGACATTGTAAATAAAACAAATCAGACAATTTTGTAATGCGGAGAGAGGCAGGCAGACTAAATAGAGACCTCAGACACAGTTGCTGAAAGAATGAATGAACAAATGATCACTAAGTGATGTATCTATTAAGCACGCACAGCTATTAAATGCATTATTGAAGAAAAACAAATTCTGTCCTCAATTTCTTTGAATTTAGTCTATCCCACCTACGCATTGGCCAATTTAAAAAGAACAGACAGCTTATACAAAAGTAAGGGGGCGGGGGAAGTCTGCTAAAAATATAAACACAAAATAAACTCCTTATTATATAAGGATAGTGATGATGAGTCATTTTCCTCCCACAGAGTGAAGACAAATACTGTGGAAAAAGAAGTTTAGGAAGTATGTGAATATGAAAAAGAATATTCCAAATTTGGGATTCAAGTATAGATTCTGGAAAGGAAACAAAGCATGAAAACTGCTTAGGCTAGATCAGATATATGTACCACTTTCTTAAACAATCAAAAGCTATCATAGACCCCATGGAGAGTGAAGGCAGAAGGAAAAGGCAGAAAGGGAAGAAACAAGAATGAAAGGTTCTTCTTTTCATTAATTTATACAAGAATGTAAGCTAATCTAAAGCACTCGATGCCTAGAACATACTAAAGGTCAGTAAAGACTAGACAACCAAGAAATCCACACATCGAATGGTACCTGCTCACGGGGCCCTTGGCTGTACAGCCCGACAGGGCATTCTTGGCGGTGTTTCCTATGTCGTCTATGATGTGGAAGGCAGCCCCTGCATGTAAGCCACAAACAGCCTTCACAGCCAAACATGCAGCCCTGCTCATGTCAATGTTCACGTTTCCTAGGCATTATAGAACCACAATCTTGATATCCACCAAATATCCAAATTGGCCTTGTTCACCTTCCAGAAAAGCAAATAAATATATAAAGGAGAGGTCATATGCTTTTTCCATCAGTTAGCATCCCAAGGTTTATAGCTGAAATGGATCCAGGATACTGGGGGGGGGGGGGGGGGGGGAGGGAGAAGAGGGGAAAGGGCCAGGGGGAGTACAAAAGGATTGTCTGGACACTATGGCTATTCTTTAATTCTTACAAATTAGACCCAGATAAAACCATTCTGCAAGCTGAGGTGATATGGCATTCCAATTTGTATAAATTGGTATAGGATGACTTGTCTAAATTCTTCAGTTTGTAACAGCTTATATTTAAATGACCTTCTGTGTAATAGCTTTCCTTACCATTTCTATACATATTCATTTAGACACCCTGTCAGCATTCAAAGATAAAAATCCTAATACGATGACAAGACAATTTCCTTAGTTAATGTAATCAGATAGTGTGGCTATATTCTCTGTTAACCTGATTTTAGTTCAAATAACTAAAGAGTTTTGTTCACTCTGTGATAAAATTAGACACTTGCAAAATAGGTTTCTGACAATTCACATAAATTTATTTTTGCAATAATCATTTAGTGCATGAGGCTTTTTAAAAATGCATAGAATTGGCATTAGGTCAGGATGAAATAACACGATTCCCAAAAAAGTTCTCCATCAAAAGTCTTACCAGGTCTCCATGAAAGCAGAATGAGGTATTTGCTTAATAACTGCGCAATTCATTTTACCTTATTTTATTTATTGCTTTGGAAATTTACCAACATAATTAGCCAACACACTTTTTAAACCAGATTATCTCATCTAATGATTAAGACTGAATGACAAGAGGAGACAAAAGGGAAAGGTACTTTAGTGTTATTTTGCCTAAGATTCTTTTTTTTTTTTTTTTTAAATATGAGAATTGGACAACTAGTGATAAGGTAGTGTTTCTCAAACTTATCTGCTCCTGAGACTTACCTGGGGAGTTTTTTTTTTTTTTTTTTAATATGAATTCCCAGGTCTCATCCTTAGAGGCGGTGATTCCTGAGGTTTGGGATGGGGTTGAGGAATGTGTATTATTAAAAGCACATGGATACGTTTTACAATCAGGCAAATGTGGGAAATGCTTGGTGTCGCGCAGAGAACACTGACCTAGTCTTAGGGTTCTAAACACCAAGGTTGCCAGCTCCTCCGTGTGTCCTTAACAGAGTCATTTTGGTGTAAATTTTCTCCGCTGTACAAACAAAACAAACAAAAAAGACAGGAAGACAGGAAGCAGCTGGGCTTCATCATTGCTCCATCCCTGTGCCTCGCTTGGGGCATGGCACAGGGAAGCCTCTTGGTTCATGGTTGCTGATTAGTTTATTATTTAGACAACCTGTCAAATTACTTTCAATGTAAAAAATTATGTGTTTGTAAAATAAATAAGTAATAACATAATGCATTTGGTTAGCCATTAATAAAAAAAAATAACAATTGTTCTCAAAATAAAACATAAACCAAGAAAGCCCCTTAATCCTTTTGACTGGTTTCAGGGCTACACGCTCCTGGTAGGCATTTCAAAGTGTCTGATTCCAGTGATCTGAGTTCCTATCTTCCTCAGTTGCCGTGATGATCATTTGTAACGAACTGGAAGCACTTAGCACACTGTTGGGCTCATTAAAAGTGAGTTGAATCTGGCAAACTTAGTAAATTCTGTGGGAAACAGAGTAAGTTCTCCTGCTACACACACAGGGGTACTGTAGTCAAAACAGGACTTCTAAAATTTTTGTTATGTTCGTCTCCAAACATACTGTGAAATAACAAGCCTAGAATTCTCAGGACCCTTCCCTGGGACATGTGGACTGTGCAGAAATAAATGCTTTTGAAAATGATTACTGGGGGGAAATAAACTCTTGAAACATTTACTTTAAAATTAAAACATTTTATAATGTTTTAAAGCATTTATTCAATTATCTACTTAAACCCTTCCATACATTACATATCTAATATAACTTAAGGAAATGGTTCTCAAAGGCTGGCCCCACACCAGCAGCATCGATATCACCTCAGAAATGCAAATTCAACCTAATGAATTGTAAACCTGGATGTAGGATAATAAAAACCTATGATACAAGTCTACCAACTTAAGGTAAATGGGACTATAAAACCAAATACAAAGTAGACAGCTCAACTTTCTATAAACGTCCCACAATGCATCAGATTTGAAAAACACACACTGTATATATCTATTCAACTTCATAGCAATACACTTAATTAACAAACATACAACAAATTCACATTTGTATAACAACTTAAGTTTTCTTCTTTTGAAAACAAATTTTGAGATACTGAGCCTGAAATGAAAACAACGTAAACCACTGGCTTTTAGGATACGCAAGTTCTCATTTCTCAACTTTATAAGTAAAATATAAATTTTTAATAAAAACATTACCAAATTTAATTTTAATATTATTAAAGTAACAATAACAAATGAGACTGTGAATATGCAATAAGGTTCGGGTCCTTTTTTTAAAGTCCAAATAGCAATTCTGATTAAGAATTAGTGATGTGTACAATTCTAAGGATAACTAGATATTATAAATGTATGATTCTATGTTAAAAAACAAAACAAAAACCTTTTACCCCCAAAATTCTGAAAACCTTAAAATTACATTTTCTCAGATGTACCAGCGAAAAAGGAAAGAGAGTTTAAGTTTGAGGACAGAGTAGAGAAGGAAGTATTGATGAGAGAAACAGCGATCCATCCACTATCACAGTCTTCTACCCACCCAAGGGAAAGAATTTGAGAAGGCACAGTAAAAAGGTTATAGAATGACTGCCCATTCTACACTGTATTACAGCTTTGGAGAACACGACTCTTAAGTATGTTTTTCCAACATTTTCCCCCCAAGCCCTATAGTTCACCAAGATAAATGGGTTGGCTTAAATGTAAAGAAGAAAGAAATCAATTCACGTGAAGCGGCTCCTAGTCAGGAACACTGAATGGCAGGGTGCTGATGACCTCTCCGGACTCGGTGACAATGGCGTCGTAAACCCACTTGCGGCTGCAGCGGCACTCCGGCCCACACTTGTTGGAGTTGCACTTGGGGCAGGGGTAGAAGCAGCCCAGGCAGTTCTTCTCCAGGCAGTCGCACAGGTCAGCGTCATTACAGATTAGCCTGCCACTTTTGTCATACTTCTTCATAACTCTGCAAGGGAAAAGAATGACACTAACACAACAGTGCAATGTTCCTCAACACTGAGGACAAATTATTATGCAACAACCTCATTCATGTGATCCCTTTACTCAGAGGAAAGACTATCCTGGAGATTACCCAGCAACACTTCAAAATATGACATGGCAGTGATGTTCTGGGAAATGGAGCCAATATGTGTTGTATAGTTTCATCAACACTGATATTATCAGACTAAACGCTTTGCTGTCTTGGGAGTGGGGCACTTCTCCATACATTACCGATGGGGCTCAGTATCCTGAGTGTTTATTAGTCTTTTCTTCTATGAAATGTCTGTTCATTATTTGGCTCATTTTTTTCTCAGAGGAAATTTACCTTTTTTTAAAAAAAAAAAAAAACTTAACTTGTAGAATTCTCTATCGATTTGGGGCACTAATAGTTTAAATTATAAATAACTTTTCCTACCTTGTGAGTTGTGTCTCATTATTTTAGGGTGTCTTTTAATGGTTATAAATCCTTAATTTCAAAGTAGTAGAATTTATCAAGTTATTTCTTTATGACTTACTTAGCTTATACTTCTGATGCATTAGCAATCATTGTATTTATGATACTTCGTGCCCATTTGATATCTGAATCTATTCCCATGGTTACATTATTTCTCCTTCAAATGATGCATCTTACTTACTTTTAATCATTTTTCCTATTAAATTTCTCTGAAGCCTTTTTTTGAAATTTAATTCTAGCTTGGGATTATAGTTTATTTCTTGAAGTTACTGACTTCCAGACACATTGGGTGATACTGTACTTAAGAAAATATATATTTAAATCATAAACAAGAGACAACCTTTAATTACTTTGCTTTGTCAAGTAGAATGCATGCATTTTATTATCCCAGAGATCAAATAAAATAAACTATGATCTTACTTGTAATTCACAGAAAAATACTCATTCATCTTTGACATCCGGGCTTTCTTTTTCTGCTGTCGTGTTTCAGGATTAAAGTCTGCTACCTGGGGTCCAGGATTTTGAAATGCCAAGCATCTTAACTGCCGCTCTATCTGTTGCTATGGGACAAAATGTATTAGCAGTAAGAACTGGATAGCTTTATCTATTCACCTTGTATCAAATTTTCAGTAACGTTTACCATAATGGCATGAAGGACAGATACTGTTATCTAGAGAAATAACCAGTTAAACCTAATTAAGTTCAAGAAGATGATTAAATTTCCTCAAGTTACTGAACAAAGAAATCCATAGTATAAAACATATGTAAAAACAAACAAACAAATGGGAACATAATTATTTTTATTCCTGCAAAACACCAGCTGGCTTCTCAAACACGGTGGGGATGAAAGTGAGAATTAGCATTTTATGGTAGAGAAGGACAGAGGAGCAAAGGCCTTCCCACAGCTGTCAGCCGAAGAAGCCCAGGTAAACCGTGTCACCTCACAGAGAGCCCAAGGACACGCAGTCCTCCCTCCCGTGCTCTGGGACCTTTCAGAAGGACTGGCACCCCGAGAGTGTGTGCTCTACCAGGGCTCCGATGCAGAGCTCAGCCAAAGGAAGTTTACACTCTCAGTCAAAGCCCGATTTGAAGAGGAAAATCTTTCTCAAATGGCTGTCTAGAGTGTTAGCATAAATTTTCAAGAGTTTCTGTTTGGGTTTATTTATAATTCCAAATTAAATGGGGCCTAGTCAGGAACACAAGTAACAAAGATGCTTTAAGCAATCCTGATGTCCTATTTTGAACATGTATTATATATTATATGTCACGAGGGAAGGGAATGCTCTTTTAAAGGATTTTATAAAGATAACCTTCTCCATTTAGGACAGACAGATGGCCAATAGACATATGAAAAGATGCTCAACATCAGTAATCATCAGGGAAATGCAAATAAAACCACAATAAAATATCACCTCACACTCAGAATGGCTATCATCAATAAATCAACAAACAATAAGTATTCGCAAGGTTGTGGAGAAAAGGAAACCCTGACTGTTGGTGGGAATGCAGATTAGTATAGCCACTGAAATACAGTATGGACTTACCTCAAAAAGTTAAAAATGGAACTGCTCTGGATATATATCCAAAGAAACTTGAAACACAACTTGAAAATTGAAAAATAGATGTGCTTCCTTATGTTTGTTGCAGCATTGTTTATAATAGCCAAGATTTGCACAAAGCCCAAGTGCCCATTAGTAAATAAGTGAATAAGAAAGCTGTGGTAATTTACACAATGTAATATTACTTAGTCTTAAAAAATAAAGAAATCTTAACTTTTGTGATGGACCTGCAGAGTATTTTGCTAAGTGAAATAAGCAAGTCAGAGAAATAAAAGTACCATATGATTTTGCTCATATGTGGAATCTAATGAGCAAAATAACCAAATAAAAAACATACTTATAGATACAGAGAATATGCTAGCAGCTGTCAGAGGGGAGGTGTTGGGGTGGGAACTGGGTGAAAAAGGTGAAGGGATTAAGAAAAAAACAACAACAACCTCATAGAAACAGACAACAATAAAGTGGGTAACAGGGAGGATAAATGTTGATGGAAGAGATTTTACTTGGGGTGGTGAACACATAATACAATATGAATATGATGTATTATATAGTTGTATATGTGAAACCTATATAATTTTATTAATCCATGTCATTCCAATAAATTCAATAGAAGAATTAATAAAAATTCTGAAACTGAGAGGCACAGCGGAGATATGTGAGGTGCAGCCTTAGCAGTGAGTAGAGTTAAGAGGAAGAAAAGCTCCATCATTATGGGGAGGCAGAAATCCTTTGTAAGGAGTCCTGAGTGAGCCCACCTTTCCCTGCAAATATGGGGCCTCTCAGGAACCCCTATACTAGAAAATCCCCAAATTCCATGGAATGGTAATATCTACATGTCATACCAGCTGCTTTTGTCCCATTTGACAGTTTTTCTCAAGAGTACTTTGACCTGTGTGTCCCTCTTCAGTGGAATTGTTTTTTTCTGGCTGTTCATTCATTTCTGATCACTAAAAAAAGGAGAGAGAAAAAGGTAAAACACATTAATTTCAGGCATCCTCAGTAACTTAATCCTGTGACTTTCCGCCTATATCTTTCTTTCAATGCCAGATCTCCATCTGCACGCCTGGTTTTTTTTCTTTCTTTCTTTCTTTCTTTCTTTCTTTCTTTCTTTCTTTCTTTCTTTCTTTCTTTCTTCCTTCCTTCCTTCCTTCCTTCCTTCCTTCCTTCCTTCCTTCCTTCCTTCCTTCCTTCCTTCCTTCCTTCTTTCTTTCTTTCTTTCTTTATCCTTCCTTCCTTCCTTCCTTCCTTCCTTCCTTCCTTCCTTCCTTCCTTCCTTCCTTCCTTCCTTCCTTCCTTCCTTTCTTTCTTTCTTTCTTTCTTTCTTTCTTTCTTTTTCCCCACTCGTTCTTGTTTGTTTTGTTTGTGCATTTAGCTTGATTTTTAGGTTCCACATATAAGTGAAATCATGTGGGATTTATCTTCCTTTGTCTCACCACTCACTCTCAAATCCTGCATCTGACTCCCCTGCCCACTTTACTGATGCTCTCCTTTACCAGTGTTCCATGAACAAATCAATGGCACCTCTTACCGTTCTTATTATCGCAGACCTCCCTGGAGCAGGCAACACCAGGACCACCCTCTACTGGTTAACAAATCTGCATTCTTAGATCTCTATTTTGCCCCTTTATCCTCCCTTAAAAAAAGGTAAGACACACTAAAGTTATACATCCCCAGTACGTTTGTGAAAATCTTATCCACTCCCAGGGTTTCAGTTGTCTCTTCTTCAGAGACCATTCCCCAGGCTGACCTCCTGAAAATTTTCTGATACAACTTGTGCTAAATGGAATAAATCTTAGCTGCTAAAATGCCTATAATTTACTTTGAAATACTTCAGTGTGTATCCAGGGTGCCAATGGGTGTGTGTGTGTGTGTGTGTGTGTGTGTGTGTGTGTGACTTAGGTGAAGCTAACATAGGATGCTAATCAGAAATGCACCGTGCAGGCTGCTCTACAGCTTCTGTCAGAAACGACATCCTTGAGAGGAGGCTTCCACAGCCCTGCTGCGTGCGCTCCTCCGCCCCCCCCCCCCCCAACTGCTGGCACTGACTATAGGGCCCTGTTTCTACTAAAGGGAACTAAGAGCTATACTTTACCAAGTTGGCCTGGTCCTTTGGCACCACCACTTGCCTGCCAACTGGAAATTCCATTTCTGTCAATGTACCTTCATTCTCCCTGTGTCTAGAGTCACTAGACATTGACTGCTCACTTTTCTGTATCACTCATCCAATTGATTCTCAACATTAGTTAGGAAGTTGAATTTTCCCTCCCAATATTCCTAATATTGATTCTTCATTTCCACTCCCTGTCAAGTGTTACCCGCCCTGTAGGTAGTAGTACTAGTAATACTAGTACCTTGCCCTTGGCCAAATAGCCTGAATATTCCTGTCAGCTGGACTAAAATTGAGACAGGCTTCTTCCAGACCGTGTCCCTGACCTCCCTCTTCTTGGAGCGCTTACTTCAGAAAACTTGTAATTGTAAATTCTTCTTCCCCATCGAGATATAAGTCATCCCTCAGATTCTCTCACTTTTACAACAGAGCTGGGCCTTTCTCAAGGATTAGAAGCCATCCCTTAGAAATGCAATCAGCTGGAAAGATGGTGTCCCTATTTGCCAGTCTCTGGGGGGGAAGGTAGAAGCCTAACTGGCTAACTGGTGGACGCCAATTAGCAAACATAGGCGGCCAAATCACAGAGATAAACACTTGCAAACTCGGGAATAAGTCAAAGTGCTCTACACATCCCACTGACCTATCTCTTTCCTAAAACACTTTAGTTTTTTCCTTTTCCCTTTGGTTTACGTGGAGTTGACTAGTTCAGACTGAGTTCTGGTTTCTCTCCCCTATTACAATAGCCTTGAATAAAGTCACCACTGTCTGTTTAACTTAGCCCAGTGCAATTTTTGCTTTGACATTCTCACATGCAGTTTCTTTTGCATATATATTTGATTTTTTCAGAGAGGAAGGGAGAGGGATAGAGAGTTAGAAACATCGATGAGAGAGAAACATCGATCAGCTGCCTCCTGCACACCTCCTACTGGGAATGTGCCTGCAACCAAGGTACATGTCCTTGAACAGAATCGAACCTGGGACCTTTCAGTCCACAGGCAGACACTCTGTCCACTGAGCCAAACCGGTCAGGGCATCTCACATGCAGTTTCTCATCTGATCAGACCAATATTCCTGTGGAGTATTTTCTAACTTGTCTGAAGATAAAAATCACATGGAGCAGTTTTAAAAATGACAAATCACAGGCCTACTGGGGATATGATTTGCAGAGCAGAATCTTGGTAAACTGTATAATTAATAAGCTCTCCTAGTGAATCCTATTATTAGGCAATGATGAAAGATGCTACAATAGGGAAAGCAGAGATAATTTTATCCATCGGTCTTGCCATCCTATCTAATAAAAGAGTAATATGCAAATTAACCATCACTTCACCCAAAGCACTCCCCAAAGCCATGCCCACCATCCAATCAGAGTGAGTATGCAAATTAACCCCAACCAAGATGGCTGCAGCCACAGAGAGCAGTTGAGAGACTTGGGTTTCAATAGAGGAAGCCAAGCTTTCCACACACCCTGGCCAGCCTAGGCCTCCACTCAAGGATATAAAGTTTCAATTATAGAAAATAAATCCCAAGAAAAATGGCGGCAGCCACAGAGGTGGAGAGAGCAGGCTAGTATTGCCTCCTGCAATGGAGAAAGAAAAGCTTTCCACCTGCCCTGGCCAGTCTAGGCCTCCACTCAAAGTACAAAGTTTCAATTATAAGAGATACATAAAACCAAACAGAAATGGCAGCAGCCACAGTGTGAGCAGGGGGCTTGGCTCTGCTCCAGGCTACAAAGTTTTAGTTGTAGAGGGTAAATAAATTCCAGATACCAGGGCCTCTGCTTGGGTCGCTGGGGGGCATGGCCGGCCTGCAAACCACCACAGGCCCCTTGCCCAGGCCGCCCCACACCCCAAGGGAACCTCACCCTGATCTGGGACACCCTTCAGGGCAAACCAGCCAGGCCCCCACCTATGCACCAGGCCTCTATCCTATTTAATGAAAGAGTAATGTGCAGATTGACCATCACTCCAACACATAATAATTGCCCCCATGTGGTCAAAGATCCTGCCCCCTTGTGGACACAAGATAGCCACTACAAGATGGTCAGTAAGGGAGGGCATTTGGGAGGGACCAGGCCTGCAAAGGAGGGCAGTTGGAAGCAATCAACCCTGTAGGGGAAGGCAGTTAGGGTGGCCAAGGCCAACAGAGGAGGGAAGTTGGGGGCAAACAGGTTGGCAGGGGAGCAGTTAGACATCAATCATGCTGGCATGGGAGTGGCTAGGGGGTGATCAGGTTGGCAGGCAGAATCAGTTAGGGATAATCAGGAAGACAGGCAGGCGAGCAGTTGGGAGCCAGCAGTCCTGGATTATGAGAGGGATGTGTACTTGGGTGGGATTGGGTCTAAACGGGCAGTTTAACATCCCTCGAGGGGTCCCAAATTGGAGAGGGTGCAGGCTGGGCTGAGGGTAACCCCCTACCTGTGCACGAATTTTGTGCACCGGGCCTCTAGTCTGATTATAAAATTATTGTCCATATTTTTCTTTCCACACCCAATTCAACTAAAAACATGTAGTCATGTTGATATTCCTGCATCAGAAATTTCTTTATCTCATTCTTATTAAAAGATTTCCCTGACTCCCTTTGTCAATAATGTTCTGCATCCCTGGCATCAGTGAAGATCCATCACAGCCATCTTCGCTCTACCTGTCTAGGCTCATATTTCCTCACTCTTTCACTGGGACCAAAGCTACCTGACCTCTCCACTTCCATGAACACACTTCCATCTCTTACCTATCTGAGCCTTCCCATTTGAACTCAGATCTACTTCTCTGCTCCAAGAAGCCTCTCCATCACTCTAGAATTCCAAGATCCCTTTCTCTCTTGGACTCTGTTTATAGTTTCCTCAACAAAACTCCCTCCAAAGGGGCCCTAAGCCCTCTAGCTTCTTCATGTAACAAATTTCCCTCCCCCTGGGGATATATATGACCTTGTGATCCTTTGAAAGCAAAAACTGTTCCTGAGGAGGTATCCATTTAACTGTGTTGGGAGGAATGAATATTTTATGCAAATACTCTCCCTGAGATGCCTTTGTTTAAGACCTTGTAGAATGTTGGTCTCCACAAATAGATTAGAGGAAAAACTTGCTCCTTTGTATTCCAAATAAAGCAAAAGAAAATTATAATAGAACCACAGCAGGGACTGAAACTATAATTGGATTTATTACAAGCCCAAAATATCTGTCCCAAGAAAAGTAGTAGAAAGTTTTAGAACTCTCCCCTTTTCCCAGCTTGCTAATCAGAGAGTGAATGCAGGGGAGCATTATAAATCAATATATATATATATTTATTTTCACTAATCTCTAACTGAAATTCTAGCATTTCCTTCTATTATAATGCAACCAACAAACCTCAACTGTGTTAGCAATGTGTGTGACTTGGTTACCTAGGAAAGCACAGATGGTTTCATAACCCATCAGAGTTGTTAATGGGTAGGTCAAAATGTTATTTGTGCCTATCACTTCTTCAAAACAATGGTAGTTCTTAGAATAGATGCTAGATTTTGTTATATGTTAATAATGAATCACAATCAGAACTGTCACAAATTGTTTTTAACATTTTGAAAAGTGTTAGACCCCAGAGCAGAGACAATGGGCCAGGTATGGAAGCTCACCAGGTACAGAAGCTCAGTGAATGCCTGGCAGGTGGCAAAACTGGAAAAACAAGAACCTCACCCTAGGGTAACCTTTCCTCCCCTAGCATATCTCTGGTCCTGAGGATTGGACCCCCCTCACCCCTGACCTTTTCCTCCCTAAAGATAACATCTAGGCCTCAGTTGTATTTCAGCTCCAGGCCCAGAAAAGCAGCAAAACCAGAGGAGTGACACTGTGGCTGC